AGTATGCTAACTAACCTAGTAAAGGTTACTTTTTGAAAAGCTATTAACAGACACAAACATGTCCCAGTTTTTGGATAACTATTTCTAAAGAAATACCAGTAAATTAATCTGAAGAGGTAAATTCATCAATTTTTCCTCCAAAGAAAACTTGTTATGCAACATCCTCCCTTCACCAAGGCTTTCATTTGCAAACTCACTTTGAGGGTTTAGGTACTGTTTGCTTTCCTTTCAGAACAAGAGCAGAGACCACAGGGCTTTTTGCTTAAACTTGTTACACCTTTGAGATGTGCATGCTCATTCCTTTGCCCTAGCTTCACCCGCCAGCCACATTCTTCTCCCACTGGGTCATGAGGGCTTAACTGTGTGCTGTGACACAGGCTGTGAGCCTCGCAGGATGAAAGTACTTTTGTGGGTTTGTAGCAGATGTTTAGCATCAATCTGCACTCCATGATATTGGTGGACTAGAGATCCCATCATGAAAGTGAAAGGATTTCAGTCAATAAAACAAAGATAAAGACACAGCAGCACAAGAAAGATGGAAGGAAAAGGAGGGAGGGGAGAAGGGAGTGACCAAACAAACAAACAAACAAATGAGGGACACTGTTAAGAGCTTGGAGCCAAAGCCACTTACTGGCCAAAGATCTCACCAGTATAGTGTGCTTCACAAAAGGCCAGTTTAAGCCTCTAACACCCCAAGGGTCTTTGGGCCAATGACAAGAATGTGATATTAATCCTTGCTACAGGGAAAAGGTTAATACATAATAGCTTTGAGGGAGATGAAGACATTTATAAAATAGCCTGTGTTTTCTTCTACCTTTCTCCTTATTTTTTCATCTACTTAGCCTCTCTGACACTACCTGGACTTTCTGCTTTAAAACCAACCTGATGAATCCTGACTAAAATTTTAAAAAGGTGGCAAGTATGTTGTTCAAACTGATGGGTTTGTCACTAGTCTCAAAACGCTAGTTATACTTCGGCATTTTCCACAGAGATTTGGGTTTTGTTTTATTTTTTTAATGCCAGTGTCCAGTCATTGCTCCCAGAAATCACATTTAGTTGCACTGGGTGGAGTCCTGACAATCGTGGATTTTTTTTTAATCTTCATGAGTCCAATGTGCAATTCATGTTGAGAACTCCTGATTAACAATGTTCCTTGTTGAAGCACTTAAAAATGTGTGATTTCCCCCATCCTCTTGTTGGAATCCTCCCCAGAGCCCCCCACACTTTTTTTTTTAATCATGACATCTCTTGGTCAAGATATTACTAAAGATACTACTACAGTGCACTCAGGTCTGCATTTATGCCTTTGCCTCTTTATTCTAATTCTGTATTCCTCCAGAGTATATCCCACACCTGCCACATTTGTGCATCTATATTTATGGTTTGTTTATTATCTGTCTTCCCCAGAAGACTAGAAGCTTCATGAGAACTAAAAGATAGATTTTAGCCCCAAAGGTAAATTAACAAAATTTTCCCTGATGTTTAAATCCCACTCTTCTTTATTTTTTTCATTAAGAACCTTACCTCCTGTACAGAGCTCTAACACAAGTATAGAGAACTGGAGAAATGAAAACAAAGTCCCTGCCTATCTAGTCTTGAGTGTGTGTGTGTGTGTGAGTGTGGCACACAGTGTGCACGTGTGTGAAAAAGGCATGTAAACAAATATGGTACATGCAAACAATGAACCTCCATTCCCCAAACCTGGCTGGAAATTTACGACTAGGAAGTGCTCCAGGATTATCTCATCCTATTGTTCCTTAAATTTTTAAATACAGCTATTTACCCAGGAACACTTTAACTTAATATACCATGTAATCTGTGCTTTCTTTTAAGTACTTAACACACTCTATCCTGTTTTATAGTTATGTGCTGGTTTATTTATCCCACAAACTTTTGGAGGGAATAAGTAATAGGGTGTATAAAGTCAAACTAAACACCGCATTCTGAAAGCCTGACATTCAAAGTGCATTTGTCTAGGTTTATTTGTGCATACAGGTAGAATCAAAAAGAAACATGTTAATGCAGTATTCGGTAAATCTCCTGGCAATAAAATTTACAGAAATAATGTTCATTTTTACTGAATTTTATTACATATTTTTATCTACTTTTTCAGGCACGAAATAGCTATGCTTATTTCTAGTATGAATGACAATCTTTGTCATGATACAGTAACTGTACAAAGCTCTGGTGTGTGGTTAACAGGGATAGGGAACCTGTAGCCTTCACCCTAAAGACACCCTCTTTTCCCATACGGTTATACTGTCTAAAGTCAGGCTGTCCTAATTTAAGCGTGTGATCCTGCATGCAACTTTCCATTTTTTCAATGCAGAGGAGGAATGAGTGTTTTGTCTAGTAATTTCTCTACAGTGCTTAGCAGTCTTGCAAGTGCCATCAGGGGCTTCTGCTGCTTAGATGACAAGAGAGAAGCTTTTGCAGTCTGCCAGTTATCATGGCTTCCTACAGATTAGCAAGAAACCCTGAGTTCTTCAGACTCTCAATATTCTGTGTGTAGGCAGCTACATATCAGGGAGTTCTAGTCAGTAAAGACAGGTTTCTCTGTGAATCAGGACCACCACTGAGGCAAGATGACTATGATTACTTTCAATACTGGAAAATAATACTTAAAAGAAAGCAACAAGAAATGAATAAATAAGCAAATAAACACATAAATGTACACCTCATGCCTCTAATGAATCCACCAAACAAAAGCATCAACCCAGGTACAAACTGTTCATTGAAAGCAGAGACCCCATGAGGATCACCTTTACCCATTTCTCTTTTAAAAACCACCTACAAAGACCCATTTCTAAGCTCTACAAAAGACAGTCAACTCGTGATTACTCCCTTTCTGTAGCCCCAGACAGAGCTGCATAAATCCCCTTCAAACCTCATTAGCATCAATTATCTACTCTTCCACCAACTTTGCAAAATATACTAGTAGGAATCTCACTTCCACCCTTTAAAAGTCACAATAAATGGGGAAAATTCCCATAACGATGGCAGAAAAACCAAGAAAATGCCACAAGAAAATGAATCCAAATTGCATCTGCCAACATATTACCTCTTTTTATACCGAAAAACAACTGCTCAAAAAGGGTAAATATTTAAGCTTTGACAAAGGTCCCAAAAAATAAGGGTAATGGTACACTTTTATTTTTTTTTATGTGTAGTAAAACAATTCAGGAAAATAGAACTTATATAAATAAAATTTTAAACGATAATAGAAATAATAATTTCCTTAATTAAATGCCTCTTTTGGAAGAAAACCAAATTCATCCTCTTAGAAAGACCTGTCTCAACTAGAACTCTGGTGATTCCTGAGCCGCTTGTGGGTGAAAATCGGAAGGGAAAAAAGTTCAATGACCTTGTAAATCAGGGACGGAAAAAACTGTATCGGTGTGACAGTCTGTACTGCCTCAATGGAATTACAGGGAAACACTTGTCTGGAAATTGTTATTCTTAGGGGAGGGAGGATTGGAAAACTACCAGGAGGCAGAGGGCAAAGGAAGAAAGCTAAAGAGAGAAGGCAAAAGGTAACACAGTGAACAGGGTGCTCCAAGGGATGCAAAATTCGCTTTCCTCTGCCCCAACTGTCACGCAAACAACTTCTACGAATCCTGAGATTAAAAGGAAAACAGTGGTTTTGCACTGGTGTCGGGCGAACGTTCCGGAGCTGGATGAATGGGAAGACTCGTTCTATACACCTAGCGGTGGGTGGATTTCACCAGGCTGCAGCCTCCACACAGCTTTTCTCTGCTGCACTGCAGAGGCGCCATCTTCTCAGTCTTAATGTTCACTCTACTCAATCCTTTTCTCTGCACCCTAAAAAAAAAAGACGCTGCACACCCTCCCCAGCCGGACTAAACCAGAGTCTCCAGAGATACCAGGGTGGAGGCCGCGCCTTTACAGACACCAGGCTCCTTGGATGCAGTGAAGGGGACAGCTCGGACCTCCCCTCCACCGCCACTGCCCTGCGACGCACTCCGCATATTTCTCCCTAAGGACTCCCCAGCCAGCACAGAATCCGGACGCCTCGGTGGTGACCGGCGGGTAGGACGCAGAGAGGTCCTGGGGCTCCGCCACCGAGGCCCGGCAGCACTCTGGCCCCTCCCGAGCAGGCACACACGAGCGCCGGGCTGGGAGCCGCGGTGGTGGGGGACCCAGACCCAGACTGCTGGCCAACGCGCCCGGACGGCTAGGGCGGGGTGTCGCGGCTTTTGTTCCCAAGGCCCTCCTCATTCCCTCCTGGAGCAGCTCAGCGCGCCAGCAAACGCCTGGGCCAGCCAGGCTCCAGGAAGGTGCGAGGTGGCCGGGAGTCTCCGACCCCTCCCATCGCACCCAACTTAACACAAAAGGGAGACGCGGAAATGTACAAAGTTTGCCCGCGGAAGGCGGTGCGCGACCCCGGCGCCGGCTCCAGCCAGGATCGCACCAGGCTGCCGCCACCCGCGGCCGCGGAGCAGAAAGCGGAGGAGGTCTGAATAAGAAGACTGGGGGGAGGGGGCAAAACGGGTTGGAGAAAGCAAGAAGCAGCGAGGAGACCCCCAGGTTCCAGAGCCTTCCGGACTCTTCCTCCCCGGAGAAGGACAGCGGTTTAAGGGCGGATTGGATCCAGGGACGCCGCGCTTTCGGTTTTCCACACGTGCTCTTTCCCTTCCCCCTGCAACCCCTAACCACCCCCATCAAGAGGGCCCTCACCTCCCCAGGGCCCCGTTCCCGAAACGGGCTGAGTCGGGGTCTGCGCGCAGGGTCGCTATCCTTCCCCTTGCCGCGGGATGGCGGGGACCGGAGGAGCCCCTAGGCTCGCCCCTGCCTCTCCGCGGGCCGAGGCGCGCTCCCCAGGGCAGGGCTGGGCGGGAGCAGGGATGCGCAGGGGACCCGCAGGCGTGGGCGGAGGGCCGCGGGGGCCCCCAGACAACCCCCGCTTCCCTATATTAAAGACTGGAGGGGATCGGGTCCTCCCTGGTGCCCGACTCCTCCATCCGAAGCGCGGCACCCACCTCCAACGCCCGAGCCGTCCAGGCTGTCAGTAGAAGCAATGCCAAACTGGGCAGCATCGCTACCCTCGCGCGGGGCACCGAGTGCGCCAGCTGCTGTGCGAATGCGATCCGCCGCGCCCTTGCTCTGCCCGAGTCGCCGCCGCCACTGCCGTCTCCGGGGTCCCTGCGCTCGCACAGCTCCGGGTGCAGTCGCCTACCGCTGCCGAGGAAACTGACTGAGCCAGAGCTCGGCGGCGGCGCTCGGAGCCCGGCGAGTCAGCTGATCAGGCCCGCCCCGCTCAGCACCCGAGAGAGACCCCTAGCGGAGCCGCCGGGGAGCTGCGCCCGCGCGCGCCGCCCGCCAGGGGTCCGCGCCCCCGCGCCCGCAGGTGCGGCCCCCTGACTGCGCTCCGGCTCCCGCGCGCCCGCCGGGCCGACCGCCCCCCGGGGCTCGGGGACTGTAGGAGGGAACCCCGCGTCTGGAGAAGGACTGTGCGCGATCAGGGAAAGGTGAGTCGTAGGACATTTGGGCTCCAGAAGAGTAAAGGTCGCTCGCGGCTCGTCCTCGTGAGCTTGAGTCCTCGACCCCATAGTCCTGCTGGGGGTGGCCAGGAAGGGTTGCTGCTGGGGTGCATCTGCATCCGCATTTCATTTTTTTGTCTCTGGGTTTGAAGAAGTACCGCAGGGAAAGAACGGCAGCAAATGACGCTTAAAAGAAAATAGGATTTCTTTGCTTATGAAAAACGCAAAACCCTTGGATTTTTTTTTTTTTTTTTTTTTCCTTCTCGCTAGTCACGAGCAGCCGACAGCAAGCTGGAATTTTTATCTTTAGAAGGAAGCCAAGGAAAAAGGCGCACGCCCTGGGAAGAAGAGGGTGACCCATTTTTTTTTTTTTTTCGTCCTCCTAAATAGGAAAATTTGGGCATTTTCTGAGATTCGTGGTTTTTTTTACTTTTTTGTTTTGTTAGAGAAAGGCAGAATCATCAGGGATGTAACATCCTTATGAGATGGAGATGAAGTAAGACTTAAAGAGGGAGGAGCTCTGGAGAACTGGCTCTTGTTCAACCCCCATAACCGATGACTTCTGACCTAAAACCGCGCCTGTTCTTTATTGTGTTTCCTAAATTTCAGACATAAACTTTGTGCGAAGCCACTTTCTCCTACGTTAAAATAAGCTGTGCAGTGCTGAGTGTCCGTTTAGTCTACAGTGATCAAGATCTGCCCGGATATGTCCCCTGCTCTAAACCCGAAGTAACACTGATACACCAAGCCTCAGTGCACGTGTAAGTAAGGATGAAAAGAGGCCAGGGAGGGATGCAAGCCTTCTTAGGGCTGCTTTTCCGCAGACCTGCGCTTCCCCCAGCCAGGGGATGCCCCCACTATGAACTATGGCTCAGCCCGCTGCCTTTCTGAGAAGTCAGTGTTAATCTGCCACCCAGCTCCCCTTCATGTTGTCCTTTGCTCTTAATAGCCAACCCTGATTCTTGGGTCACTTTTCGCCCTGAATTTTCTTTGACTGTCCTCAACAACTAATGGCAAATATTTGTTATGCAGTATTTGTTTTCATGCTCTGCATTGTTCACCTTCTACAAAATCCAAAGAGAGGGGCTGGGGATTTAGCTCTGTAGTATAAACACCTGCCTTGCAAACATGAGTTCTATCCCTGGAACCAATTAAAAAAAAAAAATCTAAAGAGGCCATTTCTATTATTCCTGTTTTATAAGTCAAGTAACCATGGACTGAGAATGTGATTCACTGGTAGATTGCATGATTGGCACCAAGGAGGCCTGGCTTGATCTCAGCACCCTAAAAAAGTAAAATCCCAAAACATCCAAACATCAAGAAACTGAAACTAATGAGCTTCCCCCGAATCTGAATTGGGAGAAAGTTGGGACTGCAGCAAAAAGCATAAGATGACAGAGAAAACAAAATTGTTGATATTCTGTGCTATACTGCTTCCCAGACACACCCACCACCATGATTCCATTCACTCCAGTGCAGTAAAGGAATCTGGATACAAAGAAGCACGAGTCATGGAGATGAGAAGGAAACAGGACACCTATGAAAATATTATACCTTTTGTTCCAAAATTAAGAATTTTAAGACCATGGCAGCCCAGAATTACACCAGGCATGAGGTGCTTCTGAATGCAGGGAACAAGTTGTAGGATGCTGGAAGGAGCAAGGCATTTTTAAGGACAAGAGATGTTTAAGTAGGCTATGGTGGCATGCGCCTGTAGTCCCAGGGCTCAGGAGGCTGAAGCAAAAACTTCACACAACTTCAGGGGCAGTCTGGGATACATAATGAGTTCAAGGCCAGCATGGAATCCATAGCAAGAGCAAGACCTTGTCTCAAAAAGCAAAACAAAAAACCACTAAGGAACTGTGGTCAAACATGAAATTAAAAAATATATAGATGAAGTTATAATCTATAAAAATAAAAGTTCTTATTTAGCAAGTTCCTGTGACATGACTGAAACTCGGCCCGTTCCCACATTCCTAGTGAAGGTTTTCTTTTCCTAGGGGGAAGGTGATTAGTCGCTGTGAGTCAGAATGATGAATGTTTGCTACGTTTTTTTCTGTCGCATCACTACTCAGAAACCCTGATGGCTTTTTGCTTCTTCTCGCCACCTCTGCACTTAATGCCATTTCCTGCCCTGTAACTTCCAGATCCCTTGAGCAAGACGTATAGAAACATAACTGGTTAGCACCCAACAGAGCTGGGGAAGGGACCACCATCAGTCTGCTGGGTTCTCCACGGTTGTTCTCCTCAACAACCGTGGTTAAATGCCTTCTCCTGTGAGACATTCATTATCTTTGGGCTGTCTGGTTACTACAAAGTTCTTGCCACATCCAAGGCCCACATCTCTTTCCTCTAAATAGCCACTCAGATATCCTTATTGTGCCTCTCTCAGCTGCCAAGCCGTAAAATTCATTTCTATTCCACACCAAAGATCTTTGCATATGCCAGTAGTTTTCTGGCTGCTTCTGCCTCCAGAGTCCTCTTCACAACCTAAGTGTCTTAGTTACTTTCTTGTTGCTGGGACACCCACCTCAAAGTGGGAAGGATTTGTAGAGGCCTTAGTCCACGGTCAGCTGACTCCAAAGCAGGACAGCCTGGCAAAGGTCCATGGCAGAGGAAATAGTTCCTAGCACAGCTGTTGGAAGCAGAGAGAGAAATCCAGGACAGGGAGATAGATGCTTCCAAGCCACTCCCCCAATGACCACCACCAGAAGTTACATTTAGCTATAAATTCGTCAGTGGACTAATCCACACTGATAAATATCACATCCCCACGATCCAACCATCTTCCAAAATCCCCACCTATGAGCACATGAGACAACAAGGACATCTAAATAACACTAAGCACACTTCCTTCAATTATCACATAGATGGTGCAGTTCCCAGTTGCTTCTATGTGATGAACATTCTCTAAGTGTTCTGGGCTATCTGTATCTGCAGCCTGTTGCATTTGATTTTTTAGTAGCTGTATCCCACGGTAGACTCGGCTTAGTCATACATGCTAAAAATTTTTTAGCTGTTTTATGCTACTAAGACATGTCTCCGTGACTTTCTGTTTAAGCTGTGTCCCATAAATATCACCAAAAGCCATCATAAGTCTGACCCAGAAAATGTGCCCTGTATGAACTTGCTAGAACATCCATGCTCAAATTCCACAGCTTGGGGCTTAGGTGCAGCTGAGTAGTGGCATGTTTTCTAGTATGCTTCAGGCCCTAGGTTCAAGGACCAGCACCAAAAATGTAACCCAAACAAACAAAACCCTAGAGACAAGGTGGTTCAAATGGCACATATTTATTTTCTCATTGTCTGGACGTTAGAAGTCCAAGATGAAGGTATTGGCAGAGTTGGTATTTTCTGAGGTTCTCTGCTTGATTTGTTGATAGTCACCTACTGTGTGTCTTTACATCTTTCCTCTGTGTGGGTTTGTGTCCAGATTTCCTCTTAACAGGCCAGGGACTTAGCTCAGTGGCATAAGCACCTGCTTGGCAAGTCCGAGGTCATGAGTTCAATCCCTGGTAACAAAAAACAAGCAAATAAACAAAAATTCTACCCTCTTAAAAGATACTCATTACATTGAATGAAAACCTTCCCTTTTGAGTTTTTCAACTTGACTACCTGTTTAAAGAACCTGTCCTGCACACCATCACATTCTAAGGTTTTGGGATATTACAACTTCAAGATATGAATTTGGTAGTGAGGAAAGATAAGAGACCCCCATTTAAAGCAGCTACCACCTGCTCTGTATTCCAGTCACTAATTTGATGTTCATTGCCCATGACGTAGTTCTACCTTTTCTATTGGAAGATTGTTCAACTGAACAGATAGAAACAGAAATCAGAGAAGTCTGCTTTCTCTGTCATGTGTCAAGTCAGCATCCTGATTCCCAGGTGGTTTACCCTCCCTGTGACTATCATACTCTGGAAAATAAATAAAATGACTCTTTACATTTCTCTTGGAAAATGTTGCTAAAGCTTAAACCCTTAGTAACATTTCAAAGCCATATTTGCTTCCTAGAACTGCCATAACAAAATGCCACAGACTAGGAAAGTTTAAAGAACAGAAATTTTTTCTCTCACAGTTTGAAATACAGGCAGGGTTGGACTCCTCTTAGCTTGCAGATGAGCATCCTCTTTGTTCTCTTGCTGTGTCCTCATATGGCTGTCCCTCTGTGTCCTTGCAGCGGCCCTGATGGCTCTGTGTCCATATCTCCCTTTATAAGTATACTAATTAGTTTGGATATGTTCCCACCCTCATTATCTCATTTTAACTTAGTTACCTCTTTCAAGGCCCTGTCTCCAAACACAGTCACGTTCTAAAGTGTGAGTTTAGGGATTCAACACATAAATTTTGAATTGAATATTATTCAGTGTATAACAGAACTCCTAAAATTATATCACATCTAAAGCTAGACTCATATTCATCCTGGGGTGTAGATTCTTTTCCGAGTCTTTCCCTGTGTTTTTTGAGTCAGAATGTTTCCTGCATAGCCAAGACAGTTTCTTTTACTGCCTCTTCATTAAGTATTTAGACGGGTTGGCTCTTCCAGACTACAAGAGTGCTAACACCTACTCTGGTGGTGCTGCCTCTGTACTGCACAGTTTATTAACTGTGATGGTAGACACTGCTCCATTTGAGAGTTTCACGTATTTTGGACTTCATCGAAATAGTCTTCTTTTCTCAACCTAGTGTCAGCTTATCTTCACAAGTCACAAGCAGATC